AGGATGACCAATCAGAATTACATTTTTATCATTCCTTTCATTTGACTCTCCCTTAGTCTCAAGTAACTACTTCTTGTTCCATTTATCTTGAATATAACAACTGATTCCTTTCCAAAAGTCTGGGAAAATCTGAATCACAGATACTTTGTTTAATATGTTTCATTGTGGTTCTAAGACTTTTTAATGTCTTTTTCAGTTAACCCCAGCCCTTGTCCTGCAGATTGTGACAGGTACCCCAAAACTACATAGGTAGATGCAAGAGAGACAGGCACAGATTTACTTATTAAAGTGATTAAGTATATGAAAATGGAGAATTGCCTTTCATGTTGGATATAAGGCATAAACCTATGGGCCTAGTCATGACCTTTTACTGAGGAACTAGGCACTGATTGTCATAATTAAACATCAGAATGTTTTATGGATTCAGCTAACAAATCACTAAGAATTTTTAATATTATCATAAAGTATAATCATGATTGTAATTACCAAAGAATAATATTTCCTTGAAATGGAATAATATATATTTGTAAAACATTAGGGTACCTTTCTTTGTATATAAATTAGAAAATGTCTTTATCTATCACTGAAGCATATGTATACCAATAACCCTTTAGCTATACAAATTAATTTAGGGAAGACTGATTTTCTCCTCTTGATAGGATATTTTCCCCCAACATATGAAAAACAGATAGTAGATTTTTAATACTTTGAATCTAATTATAAATATGGAAGACACAAAGTATACTGAAGTATATCTTTCATCTTTCTTTTTATAAGGTGAGAAAGAGACTTTTATATTAATTTCTAGCCATATGGAAACTGATAAAGATGATTTTAATGTAAGAAACACCTTGACAGTTTTATTATTCTAAATTTAGAGTCCAATTCAGAAGAAGAAAATAAAAGAGACTGTTAGGGGAAGGCGGCTGCTCAAATAAAATTGGAACATAGATACCAAAGAGAACAGAACAGTCATCTACGGTCATATCACCCTGAACGTGCCTGACCCAGAAAGCTGAACAGTTAGTAATTATGTGGGAATGGAAACAGTTCTAGCCATGAACTGCAATGACAATATGATACTTAGGATAAACAGGGCACAAAAAAAATCAAGCCAAAAGACAAATAAAATTTATCTTTTTGTGAAATAAAGAATCTATTTACATGAATCAGGATTAAAGGATATAAATTAAATTTGGTACACTGAAAAACTGTTCTTTTCTTTTTGTATTTTTTTTTTGAGACAGGGTTTCTCTGCGTAACAGCCTTGGTTGCTTTATAGACAAGGCTGGCCTTGAACTCAGAGAAATTAGCCAGCCTCTGCCTCCAGAGTGTTGAGATTTAAGGTATTCACCACCATACCCTGCAAAGCACTTGAAGACTTAAGCACATAGAAGATGTCAAATATTTCACTACTATGATGGGAATACAAAAATAAACAATAAATCTATTCTCATTATGAGAATAAATTATATATTCCAAGATTATTTTTCACTTTATTTTTACCCCCTCTATTCTATTGTTTTTGAAATACATAGTACATTAATACATTGTATGTGTGTATTGAAACATACAGACACATGTAACCATAGATACATATTAATACATATATGTATTAAACTTAAATACATATTAAAGAATAGCTTATGCATAACTTTTTAACTAATTCATTTTTATGGGTAAGGGTGTTTTGCCTGCATGTATGTCTGTACATTACATGTATGTCTAGTGCCTGTGGAGGCCAGAAGAGGGCATCAGATCTCCTGTGATAGGAGTTACAGATGGTTATGAGCCACCAGGTCGGTGCTGGGAACTGAATCCCAGTCCTCTGGAGGAACAACAGGTGCTCTTAACTGCCGAACCACCACTCTAGCCCCTAAATAAAAATTATTATTATTATTATTATTAATCACTTAATACATTAGGAAATTATTCATACACAATATTGATTTTATCATTTTAACTTAAGCTTCCGAAAAGAAGAGCTGTTAATAAGAACGTAGATAAGATTGTTTTTATGAAACTTGATCAGTTTGATGCTATGTTTTTATCAGTTTTTACATTCTTTGGAATTTCCTAGATACAAAAATTTTTACTTTTTATTCAAAGTCTTAAATTTATTTGAAGACCTCAGAAATTAAATTTAGACTGGTATTAAAGAAAAATAGAACCAAGACTAAAACCTGAGCCTTATGATATTAAAATATATACAGAATGACTGACTTTCTGGCTATATACCTTCTTATATTGTTTGAAATTTTTAAGAAGCAAATTTTTGCCAAGACTTGGCAAGTTGAGGTTCAATTTATTCTTACCTTGAATACTTGAATTCATCAGCCCTTCTGATCAGTGAGCCCAGTATATAGAAACTGAGGCTGTTCTTTTTGTAATGATAAATCCCAAACCTTGCAAACCTAGAAGACAACTGAGAAGACTATGTGGACTGTAAGGCCTATGTTTCGTATATTTACTTGACACCAATCTAAAGAATTTTGACACTCATTCTCAAATAATTTGACTTCTACCAAATATATAATTTTATAAATATAGTAGTAACATTTTATCATATGCTTTTAAACACTTGTAAATTGAACTTTATAAAACAAAAATTGAAAGAAAATAAACTCAGAACGTTTACTTCCTATGCACCATGGGATCGGCTTATGTTCTCTCTAGAGCCCCACAAGCTTTCGCGGAAGCCATTTCCCCATGATCATGCACAAATGCCGTTTTTCTTCTGAAAGCTTTAGCTGTTTTTGGTTTGTCTCTCTGATGCTTTGTTTTTGGCAGTGATGTCCAAACATTTTCAGAAATTTTGTTTACAATTTATGTATGAACCTGACATTTTTTTCCTTACCAATAATGTATTTACAGTATTATATATTTTGTCATATTTATGCTTGCTTAGTTTTTAAAAAATATTTAATAAAAAGCTTGCATGGGGATCGGGAAAGTAAATCAGCTGCACTGTCCAGTCTTACAGGCCAGGCAGCAATGACAGACACTTTTAATCCCAGTAGCCATACTAGTTTGCCATAGAAACCAGGCGGTAATGGTACATGCCCTTAATCCCAGAACTAGAGAGGATTATAAAATGGGGCGAAACAGCTCTCAGACACAGTCTCATTCTGAGATATTTGGAGGCAGGATCACCAATTCAGACTGAGGTAGAGGTAAGAGACAACGGTTGGCTGTTTTGCTTTTCTGACCTTTAGGTTGAACCCCAATTTCTATGAATTTTTATTAATTGTGCTTCAGTCAAGAGTGCACACTTTCACGTATAAGATTAATAGACTCTAGTGACTTACTGTAGCATAATGTATATTTGAAGCTTTCTATGGTAGAGGATCTTCAGTGTCTCAACATACACAAAATGTAATTTGTGGTTGGCAAGTTATCTGGAAAATGTGCTTGCTTAAAAAATAAATCCGAGAACTGAGATGGATTTTTTTTGTGATGAAGGGCATCTATGGAAAATCTATAGTTAACATTATTTGCAGTGGTAGAAGACTGAAATCTTTCCAAGATCACAATCAGACCAGAGCCAAGAGTGGCCCAGTGGGTAAAAGGGCTTCCTGCTGACGCCTTATGACCTGAGCTCAGTTTCTAGATCACACAGTGGGAGGAGGAAACTGAGTCCCTAAAGTTCTTCACATGTGAGCCATGAAAGGGACACACACACGCACACATGCACATAATAAATGTTAAAAATGAATTGAAAATATTTTACTCATGTGATTTTGTGTGTGTGTGTGTGTCACAGCCATATGTGTAGTAGGGTCAGAGGACAACTTTGCAAAGTCAGTTCTCTCTTTCTGCTTTTGCGTGGCTTCTAGGGTTAAATTCAAGTTGTCGCGCTTCTGTCAAAAAGTAGGAAATGGCCACAGAGCTGCATGGTGGAAACGTTCTTCACAGGGCTTAATCATCAGGACGAAGGGAGAATGTTGGGAATTGTCTGGTTATTTCCCAGGCCACCTATTCTACTCTGTTGTGAAGTTTTTTTTCTTAATGAAATGTAAAGACAAGTTTAGTAGTGTTTTTGTTTATCTGATGATTTGCATTAGTAAGCACATCTCCATTTTTGGGTGATTATTGAATTTGGCTTCTTGTTCGCTCTTTGGAAAGTGTTTCATTGCGTAGCCATCTTGGACTTCCCTAATGAAATGATTGATTACGAAATATATACCACCATACCTCAGTAAGTCTTGTTAGTTTTATATATTTTAATTGAAAATAAATTTATTCATACAATACAATCTCCTCATTGTTTCTTCTCCCTCAACTCTTCCCAAATCCTCCCACCACCCCACCCACCCACCCAACCTCATGCCCTTTCTTCTGCTTTCTCTTATTGCTGACACACATATTTCTTTCCAATTTCAGTATAATCAGATGTGGAAGGGGTTTCAGTAGAAGTTACCTGATTAGCTGCTGCAATGGAGTCACCTATAAATACACTGGTGCAACTGAGGCAGGGAGACAATGCATTTAAGATGGGTGTGTGCAGCATCAAGAGTTGCACGCTCTTACAAGAGAAAAATAAAGAGAGAAAGGGAGGAAGAAAAAAAAGACGGAGAAGGGGAAGAGAAGCAAGTACAAGAGACGGACACACACACACACACACAAAAAAAAAAATCCAAAACAAAACATAAAAAGAAACAAGCAAAATCCCAATGAGAACTATTCTAACTACCATCTTTGTTATATGAAAATATCAGCTGCCTCTTCCCCTTTTCTCTCCCTTCAGGGGTCACTCATCTCCTGTATTTGAATGGAAAGCAAAGCTATGTCCCTGGCCCCCACACTTCAAAGTTCTTTAAAAGAAGATTTTCTTCTCTTGAGCTGTGCATTGGTTTTTACTTGTGTACTTTCCTCTCAGGGCTTGCAAAGACCTTGAGGGTTTTTTTTTTCCACCCCTCCATCACAGTTGGGGGCGGAGTATCCTTGGGCTGAGGGGAAGGCGGGGAAACCCCTGGAGCCTGAGGGAGGAGCTGCTCTTCTGCTGGCTTTGGAGGCTTGGGCCCACCACTGGCTGGCTGCTTGCTGGGAAAAACTGCGGAGAGGCTAAGGCGGCGGTGGCTGAGGGCTGAGCTTTCAGGCCATGGCCTTGGCTGTCTGCAAAGTTGATGTTTCCCGAGATCTGAAGAACATTTGAGTGTTAAAGGTGAGAAAAAATCGCGGCTGTCGGTTTTAAGTCACGGAAAAGGAGTGTCGCTTTGTGCCAGTCGTTTCTAGGAGAGAAATGATAACTGAGCTTTGAATGCCAGGGTTTTGAAAAGTCCACCGGGAGAGAGGTGGCGATTAGATTTCACCTGTAGAAAATCATTCTCCATGAGGTTGCAAACAATAACTTTTAAATGGATCATTTGGTATTTCAGCCCAAAAGCAGTCGTGGCTATGGTAAATGTTTAGAAAAATCTTAGCAAATTAATCTTTCTTATTTTGAAAAAAGTTTTGATGTCATAAATGAACATTTAAAGTCTTCAGGATGCTGGCTTTCATTATATTTCCCACAGATACTAGTGTTGTGGTGACATTTGTATAATAGTATACAGCAAAGTATAATTTGCGATTCCAGTGCCTCAGTGAGCTGGAAATTTAGTTGTCAATTCCGTGTTGCTGTTGTTTTTTAAAATCAAATTTTAAATACTTGCAAATAAACACAATGATGATCTACATCTGCTTATATATGAAAGGGATGAATCCAGAAAGGTATTAAAATTTAAAGACGGTAAGAGTGAGAGACTGGCATGGGGGTGCGAAAAATCTGGAATCCCAGTGCTTGGGAGGAGGGCCACGATGATCAGACGTTAAAAGCCAGTGTCCAATACTTAGTCTAGGCTACACTAAGCCTTTGCTCAAAGCCAAAACCTGAGAGATCATAAAGCAGTAAACATAAAGCACTAAACTAAACAGAATCAACAATGTGACTAATAATAAAGGATGTCTCATATTAAAGACCATTGAAGGGGATGTTCAATGTATTTCCATGTTCCCTGAGCATGCTGTACCCATCAGCATAAATGGACTGAGATGAGAATTTAAAGTCAGAGGGGGAAAAGCTACTTGGGAACTATGTATGAAGATTGAATAAATGTAATTTCAAAGAAGCTCATTCAAGTGTACGTGGGGTGGAATAATAAAAGCAAAGTTGTAAGCAGCTCAGGCGCTGCATACTAAAAATGTGTGGTCTTTGGTTTAGACTTTATGTATTTTTACACTCAGGAATAAAGATGTAGCTGAAAAGGGAAGAAATTGTTTTGTTACCGGTGCTTGAGCAGATACCCACATAATTCCATTGTCTTAAGCTGCTGCTGGATATTCCTGCTGCTCTGAGAAGGCTGCTTACCCAATTCCTTATGTTTGCTTAAAATTCAGATAGTCAGGCTACAGTCCAGACTCTGGTTCAAACAGAAGATATTTATATAGTCTCGAGAAAGAATTTAGAAAATGCTCCAACACTATATTGAAGAGCCCTATGTGGGAGATAATGTGTGGGCAAGCAAAATCATATCATTGAATACTATTTAGTTGTGAAAAGAATGACGTAGCCACAGGCTGGCCTGATGACTCAGAAATGCGCTTGCCGCGCAAGGCTGTGTATCTGCTTTCCATCTACAGAGCCCGTGTAAAGGTGGATGGAGAGAACTGGCTATCCGGAATTCCTCTGCTCTCCATATGCAAGCCAGGGCACGCAGACCCAGTCAGTCGCTCCCCGCCTCCACATGCAAACACATTCGATTAATGAAAGAAATTCAAGAATGAAATAACACTAAATGTAATGCTAAGAGAATAGGTTTAAGGTGCATTTTAAAATTAAGCAACTTCCAGAAACTTCTGCATAATATAATATCAAATCTTTTACAAAAAATGAATGCTGTACATGAATAGAATGAGTGGAAGAGAAAAATGACTACGTAAATGGTAATTTGAAAATGGGAATGTAAGTAAAGTTGGAGAGAAAGAAGCTATTTCAACTTAGGTATTATATCTCTTCAGTTTTAAAAATAGCATATTTGAGCTCTATTTATTGGAAGAAAATTTCAAATTTAGAGATATGGAAAAATCTTTAAAATGGTTCACAAAATAATAATGTGAAAATTATTGATATGGAAAAATAGCGAATATATTATTGAAGGGATAAACAGTATAATTTCAAAAACATTCAAACTATAAGTACATAAGTGTACTTCATACATTACATATATTATACATAAATGTACATTAATATATGAAGAAAACTATCATATTTTGATCACTATTGTATTTGGAATCTAAACCTGAGTAGAAAATAAACATTATTCTATCATCCACACCCTAAAATGAGGGTTTATTATCCCGTTTTTGTGTTTTGTTTTGTTTTGTTTTCATAACAGACACACACACAGAGGAAAAAGAGAGAAAGAGAGAGAGAGAGAGAGAGAGAGAGAGAGAGAGAGAGAGAGAGAGAGAGAGAGAGAGAGAGAGAGAGAGAGAAAGAGAAACCAGTTCTGGAAACTTGAGAAAGCTACTCTTTACAGGATCATTGTGCCCCCCCCCCCCCCTGCAACTGACTGCAGTTCTGCTTTTGGTCAACAGATGGCGCTTACCAGGTTTACTAAATGTTTTCCAGGCAATTGTTTTTATAAAGTAGACACACAATAAATTCTATTTTGCTTTAGCAGGTTTTGAGCATTCACATAAGGGTGTGACTGAATATACCTGGTGTATAAACCTGGAAAACTCCACACAAAGACAGTGAGTGCTATGAGGATTTATCAACAGAGTACCAAAGAACAAACAAGCAGGCAAACAAACAAAAAGCCAAGGTAGTTTGCCAGAACTTGGCCAGGAGAGCACACAAGGCAATGATTGGGTCCCTTCTTTTATGTCTCAACCTCATAACTTTCTGAATGGAGGTGATTTCAGCATGAAACACATACAGAGCTGTCCTAAAAAGCGATTTCAACCTATGTGAGTAAGAGGGAAAATCGGGGTGTCATGAGGTTATCAGGGATGTGATCTCTCCTCACGTCTGTGCCACGGAACAGCTGGAGTCTGGCTAGGCAGTTTCTCCACATTTGATTTTCATTTTATTGATTTGATTTTCTGTCTTCCTTTTGCCCAGCCTCAGTTGATATCAGACTTGCAGGTGACGTGGGCAAGTTGTCCTGTGAGACCACTGGGGCTGGAGTGGCCATCAAAACAGCTGGATCACAGTCCATGTACCAAGTAAGGCTCTTCTGATGTCAACAAACTTCTGACGCTTAGAGGCATTTGGGGGTCACAAAGGTTACTGCATTTTGTGTCAGTGGCGTTTTCAATGTAAAGCTCACCTTTGTAGTAAAGCTGCTTTCAATTGGAAATTCGCAGGTACAGATTATGTATAATCCCTGTTCTGAATCCAGAAGAAAGGGAATTAAAGGTCACAGTTTTGTGAAAGTCCATCTTGTTTTAAACAGAAGCCATGCTAGTTGCCATCCAGAGCTGTGAAGCAGACTTCCAAGTCCTTGAGAACGTCTCTAGGTTGTCATCACATACTACAGTTACTAAGGTAACTTAGTAACTTGCTTCAGAAACCTTCAAGGCCCCAAAGCTTTCCTTAGAAGGAAATTTGTGTGCTTTCTTTAATAGTATTCATACCGGTTCAACCCATTCACGTCTCTTCCAGCAACTGTCTCAAATCTCTGACTCCAAAGTTTATGCTGTGTTGTTGAAGTTCAGCCCTCTGTCCTTTGTCCATGAGGTTTTCTTCAGTTATCTTGGGTAAACAGGGCAGCAGTCGCAGCTCAGAAAACATTCCCCAGTATAACCAAAGAAGCTTAAAAGTATCCAGTCGTTCAGGAACACAAACAATATCCCTCACACTGCCGAATACCCTCCTACATATATTTCTTCCTTCTTTTACAGCAGAAAAAAAAATAAAGATAAGGTGTCCTGTTTGTGTTATCTTAGTATGTCTCTGGTTTTGTCTGTCCTGCCTTCTGCCTGCTTCTGTTTGTTTTTCTGACCTGTACCTTGTCTGGCCTCTTCATTGTCCTTTGCACTTGACAAAGTAAACTTTTTATCTAGCCCCCTTTCTTTGGGGCCATTTTTTTAATTTAACCAAGTTATCACTCATTGAAAATATTTCTTTTATCAAGCTTCTTCGTAATTTGTCAGGGGATCGAAGAGAAGCTACTGGGAAGTAAGGACCATTTAGCATCTTTTTCACCTAGCATAAGGCTTCTTGGGAAACACTGCAGGGGTCTGCAATTTTTTATTATCACATCACGAAATGCAGTTACTATTGGATATTGAACAACGTCGGTTAACATTAGAGATTTGTGTGACGCATTAATCTTCGTTTAATGGGTTGTCTGCGATGTGGAAATGACAACCTAAATTTCTGTGAAGAATTGGAAACTGTTTCCACAAAGGTAATAAAGATTTCAAACTCAGAACTGTCTGACTTCCTATTTGAAAGCTATAACCATAATGCCTTTACTGAAGCATTGTAAATTCTGACATTGGATCCTACCCACAGAGACCCACGCCTCACCAACAAGCCATGGATGCTCTTTTCAGGATAGGTTACAGAATCATTTTGAACTTGCCTGACCCTCTGCTTAGGATCCCTGGAAGAACTCTTCTTTTTGTAGAGTTTCGATTGCAAGCCTTTTTTTTCCCTTCCAATTTGTTACTGCGGGAAGAGCTTTCCTAACAGTCCAGCTCAGTTTCTCTATTCTTGGTTGTTAAAATGAATAAGAGATTCATGTTACCTGTTCACTGTGGTAATTAATGGGGTTGTTCAACATTTTACATTTTTTTTGGTTTTAAATTTAGCATAACCTTATCTTAAGAGATGTAAAGCTCAGAATTGTTATCCACAGGCAGCGTGTAAGCTACAGCTCCCCCGAGGAAGCAACAAGTCAGGGTTAAAGGAAAAGAAAATTCTAAATTTTCGTCTTAACTTCTTGGACGTTTTGGAATTAAAAAAATAAAAGCGTAAGAAAGGAAGACAGCAACACAGCTTTCCCACCTGGATCTGGCTGTTAAAAGCAGAGCACAGGAACAAAGGATGGCTAATCATTAATAAAGTGGAGAGAAATGAGCACTTCCCTGCATAAGATCATGACATTCAGCGCCATTACTGGAGCAGGTGAAGCTGGAAGGGAACTGACCACTAGGCATCAGCAGCAGAGAAAGACTTGCCCCAGTGACTAAGGCCGAGGAGATGCAACCATGCAGATTATGGTCAACACAAAGATATAGTGCACCAATTATAAGAGGGAGAGTATGTGGAGAAGTATAGGGATTACTGAGCATGACAGCAACACCACTGACTTCCTCCCAGTTACAGTCAGAAAGGAAATGACCTAACCTGCAGACTAGCAAACAGGCTGGATCTAAGCCCCAAGGCTATGGATGCACTGGGGAGCAGTCACTGGGAAGGAAGGAGTCAGATAGTCTTACTTTGGCTGTTTTTTTCTTGTCCCTTACCTGGGTTTGCAACAGGCACACGTTTCTGTTTCCTTGTAATCTTGCTGACTGTTTATTTAATAGTTTCTTTGCTGTGTTTCAGTCGTTACTTCCGCGTTATTTTGATTATTAAAGTCAGTGGTTATCTCATGTGCTGCTCTGTCTCCATTTGGAATATTTGGGTTTTAAGGAGCTCAATAAAGATGATTTGCCTTTCTGCATTGAATAAATTGGTATAAAACAGTTGTATGGAGGGGTTAAAGTGTAGGCTTTAGTCCAATGGTAAGTTGCAGAACACTAAAACCACGTGGGCCTTACGACCAACCGAGCACCAAATTGAAGTAAATACTGCCAAATAGGTTTGAGAACCGAGATACTTAGATTTGTGCTGCAGGAGGCTACTTAAAAAGAAGCAGACTGTTTCCTTCGAATTTCATGAACTATTCATGTCCTTTGTCTGTTTATTTTTATTTTGCTGTTTGTTTCTAATCAACATGTAAGAGCTACTTTAGGCTGCCCTTGACATCGTATTGTTTTTTATGGTGGGGGGGTATTAGTTTTTGAGATAGGTTTTCACTCAGGCTCCCTTCAGCCGCCCCCCCCCAAGTTTCCTGTCTCAGTTTCCTCAGTGCTTGATTTACAGATGGAAGGCCCCACAGCTGCCTAAGAGCGACTTTAGAGCAGAGATGTTTTTGCATTGAAACCCTTGTGCCAAGTTTGTTGAGTTTTCTGCTTTAGCTTATGCTATGTTTTACTACAGGCTTTCCTCGCTTACTTCAGTATTAGATACACGTATTTCTTGAAAGAATTTCAATTCATGTTTCATATTTAGAAATGACTAAAATGTGCGAAAGTTTCTGAAAGGATGAATAAGAAGACCTGATTAACACACACACACACACACACACACACACACACACACACACACACAGGGTTGGACAGAGAACACACATGCAAGTGGGAGAAGGCACATATCTCAGGACCAGGAAAATTAATCTTGCAAAGGCTTAATTCTCCCCCCAAATAAGGTATTATTAATTCACCCAGTTTCAAATGAGGACCTGGCAAGATCTTTCTTATACATTTTGAGCAGCTTAATAGAGTTTGCAGAAATAATATGGTTGGAGAGGAAAAAAGGGGGGGAGAAGAAAAAAGAAAAATAAAAACAACTATGTATGATGCAAAAAGATATTATCTGCGTCTTTAATATATGGTAAAGGCATGTCTGCATTTTCTGGGGAGGGGTGTCATCCACCCCGGTGCTTTGAATGCAAACCAAGGGACACATGTTGCCATTCTGCTTTGGAGTTTTTTTTTTTTTTTTTTTCCAATTTTTTTTTCCCCAGAGGGAAACAAGTCTGGGTTTGAGTTGAAGGCTTTCGTCCATCCCAGAGGGGCGCTCGCTCCCCTACAGCCCCCAGCAGGAGAAGGGGAGGAGCCTCTGCCAGCTTGTGGGAAGCTGTGGGAAGCTCGCGCGCGCCGAGGCGCCTGTCCTGGGGGAGGGGCTGCACTTCTCCCGGCGGTGGCAGCAGACTGGGAGCCAGGAGGTAATGGCTGTCTTTAAGCCCGTTATTTTCTGGGAATTTCTTCGCGCTTTGAGGGGAAAGGTGGGAAAAGAAAATAGAAATTAGTGCCTGGGAAGAGGTGGGGATGGAATAATGTTTGGATAGCTTTGTCGTTACTCGGGTAAAATTAATGCTCTGGAATTTGGGCTTTTCGGATAATTTGAAAGTCCGTAGTGTGGGGAGAGGTGATCGGATTGCAGCTTCTAAATTAAGTCTTCAGTGAGGCATGACGTTCATGTTCATTTGCTTATGTGGCATTCTATGTTTTCATCTCTGGTACAGGTTTTTTTTTTTTTTTTAATACGATTTTGTTTTAAACATTTGCATTCTGCCAAAAAAAATACTGTCAGAAAACGCAATCATAAAATGAATGACACAGAAAGGTGCATGGGCTTGGAACAAGATTTAGATACGCTGTTGAGTGATATCACTTGTAAAAAAAAATGCGCGTTTTCCTGACTGGGGGCGGGGGTGAGAAACTAGACTCCTTGCGTCTCTGAGTGTTTTGGGTCTTCTTGGTTGGTGGCGAGGTGAGACATAATCTATTTTTAAAAAAAAAGAAGAAGAAGAAGAAATGCTTTCAGAATTGCTTTATTCCCTGATAATTTTTATAATTAGAAAAGCCTAATGATGCTGAGATCGCATACCTATTTCACTTCAAACATACACGCGCGTGAACACACACAGTACACACAGAGGTAAGTGCTCTCATAATCCATTTCTTTTGCTGAGAGAGTTTTTTTTTTAATTCTTTCTTTTTGGACCCAGTCAAGCAAGGAATCAAGTTGTGTAGACTACAGCCCTGCGTGCATCCGGCTTGGGAGGGCTCCTGTCAGGCCACAGGTATAGCAGTGATGAGCAGGAACCATTATTTTTTCAGCATTATCTCAGTTTAAACGTGAGATAGGGGACTGGGTTTATTTCCCTAAGCAGTTTTGAAAGTCCTGTGCAGCATGCTACTTCAATGCTATGGACCGTTATACGTAGCAGGCAAATAAAAGGATGAAGCTTTGGTGATTTGAAAAGCTGTCTGCAAAGTAGAAATCCTGGGGGGGGAAAGTAAGTTTAGAATGACAAGCAGCGTTTTAAGTTGTTTAAGGGAAAAAAATACAATTTTGTTAATTTATTAATGTGTATAATCAAATCAGAAAAAAAGGGGGTCAGCCTACTACTAATGGAATTTTTATCTACTGGAGATAGAAGTGGTCTTACTGTTTTAAAATAGCCTCGTTGTTGTTGTTGTTGTTGTTGTTGTTGTTGTTGTTGTTGTTGAAGACAGACTATAGACCAGGCTCACCGGGAACTATGTGGTTTCAGGCTGGCTTTGTGGCAATTCTCATACCTCAGCCCGTTGAATGAATGATGGGAATATAGGCTTAAGCAAACAGGATGGGTTTAAAATAATCTTTAATCTAGATTTGATCATTTTATAATGATATCAGAAACTAAACCTTGCAATAAAATGCTTCAAAGTTGGGGGAAAATAGAATTTGAAACAATGCATTAATGACCTGCACTGGCTGCAAGGCATGGTGCTTTACGTCTGTAATCTGAGCATTCAAGAGTCTAAGGCAGGAGGATGGCCTTGCGTTTCCAAAGATCAGCCTGGATTGCAGAGCAAATCAAAGAACCAAAACCCAGACTCAAAACCAAATGAAAAATTAAAAACGATTGGCTTGTGATAGTATGAGTTTGTGAGTATATCTAAAATATATAAGGTATATAGACAATTATTAGTAGAGTTATCTTTCTAAAATTATTTTGTAGCTTTCTCATATTTTATATTTTCAATAGGCATGAAATTTATTTTACAGTCCAGAACTTTGGGGATGAGGACATTTGGACCCTGTCTTTTATGCAATGCATGACAAAGCTCTGATTTTCAGTTTGGTATATTCTAGAAGCCTGAGAAAGCTGCAGGCTGGGACATGCTAGTGACAGTTCTGCTTCTGGACACAAGATGGCGCTTGCCAGATAGCCTAATTTTTCTCCAGACAAGCGTTTTTTATAAAATGAGCAAACCAAACCATGAAACCTATTTTGTGTTAGGAAAATCTAAGACAGCATGTAGTATATAGTGAAAATTCATTTCACAAGCTGTTGTGTAAGGAAGACAAAGCCCCATTCAAGACGGCTGTGAGGACTCTAAACATTTCAAAATTGGAGTTCTTAAGGTTTGGCCCAAAGTAGACAGAAAGCTCCGGCTGCTTCGGTTCTCTTCAGTCTCTGTGACCAAGACGGCAAGCCTACAAGAGTTTCGTTAGGGGAATTCATTTACACTTTTTAAAGACCGACTTTATTGGTTTGCTTTTTGAAGCAGCCTCAGTTCATATCCCATCTGTAAGTGATATGGGCAGTTTACCTGTGATCCTTTTGCATCCTAGAAAGGCAAAGCAGCTGCAGGACTGTCTAGCAGAGCAAAGGCTCTGTTGAGAAAGCGGCTGGGGTGAGACTCAAGACAGCCGGATCGCAGGACCAGAGCACCACAGTTCACGTGGCTAAAGGTAAGAATCTTCCCTTTTCATAAAGCCTTTCATGTTAAGAACATATGAAGTTGGAGATCTGGAGTACAGCTTCTTTCTGGTTTGGTAGCTGTGGCGTATCAAATTACAAGCCGATCTTTGTAAGGCTGGGTAAGAGATAAGTACAGACGGTTTGTCCTGGTGCTGCTTTGATTTGTGTCTCTTCAACCTTAGTATGCTACAGACCCCACTGGCCTTCGGGAGAAGTCGTGCTTTGCCTTTGCCTGTTTTCCAAGAGGTGTAGTGCCACTTGGCTGCCTCAATCCTGGGTAAGAGCAGAGAGCCCCTGGTGGAGGAAGGTCATTGGCTAATAAAGAAACTGCCTCGGTGCATTTCATAGGTCAGCCTTTAGGCTAGCCAGGCAGCCAGGAGCCGAGCTGTGGGAAGAGGCCCGCAGCTCTTACTACAAGCCCTGGCTTCCCAGTCAGCCCTTTTGATACAGCCTCGGTTCATATCACATTAGCAAGTGATGTGGGCAGTTGACCTGTGATCCCTCTGAGCCCTTGAAAGGCAATGCAGCTGCAGAGGTGTCCAGCAGAAGTATCCGAAAGGCTTTGCTAGGAACACAGCTGGAAGCAGAATCAAGACAGCTTTTAGTCAGTCATGTGGTAACGACAGGAAACACATAAAACTGTTTGGTTCAGTGCACTATTGCCAGTGTTCTTTTTGTTTGCTTGCTTGCTTGTTTATTTTGTGTGTACAGGCATATGAGGTATGTGTGTGCAACACTTGTGTGCAATACCCTTAAAGACCAAAGAAGGGTAATGGATCCCTGGTTGATCCCCTGGCACAAGGTTACAGAGGGTGTGTGCACCACCACATGGCGGCTGGCTTTCAAGCTCAGGGCCTCGGAAGGAAAAGCCAGTACTCTTCATACTGAGACATCCCTTGAGCCGCATGTGGTTTGATTTTTAGAGGTAAGGTCTCACTCTAGAGTACAGGCTGGCCTGATACTGGCTATATAGACCAGATCAGCCTAGAATTTGCAGCTGTTTTCTTGTCTCTGCCTCCCTAGTGCTGGAATAATAGGTATTAACAGCCATAATCATCTCTACCAGTGATTCTGGCATGTGCGTGTCTGTCTGTCTGTCTGTGTATCCCACTGTATCCATAGATTACCTCAAATGCAGTTTAACTGATATTTTCAAGCTCTGAGTTTATTTGAGAATGACTCTATTATAATTTGAGGAAAAATGTATGTGCTAAAGCTCTATAATCAAATTAGGCAAATGTTCACAATGATAGCTACTTTTGGAAGACGGCCATGCCCAAGCCAAACTGTATGACTCACTAGAGACCCTTGAAAAGAATCCTGTCGATAAGTAGCCATGTCAGTCATTCCAAACCTCTGACTGTCATCCTCTTAATGATAGGTTATTGTGTTATCTGGGCCAGTATAGGAGACACAGGCCCTGAATTCTGTCTGGCTGGTACGGGTAGATAAAACAGCACAGACAAGTTAGGTAAGTTAAAAGAAGAGTCCTTAGAATAAACTTTGAAAGATCCCAGAGTACTCCCTCAATGGAAATGGTACCCCTGGGTTCTCCCAGCTCTCCTTGCCCTTGCCCGTCTCTCATTTGTCATCAGCACACATACTGATTCCTTTTATACATTGGCTACGATAAGGACTGTGTACTGGGACATTATAAAAGGACCATTTTTAAATGATTTAAATAATTTTCCTAATCACAATCTTATGTCTTGACTTGGTGCCAAGTAATTTTGTCCTTTTTAAAGATATGTGTGTGTGCTCGCACGCATGTGGGCTCACCTCTCTGTGTGGAGACCTATGGAGGCCAAAAAAAAAAAAAAAAAAAAAAGTGTTAGATCTTGGAGGCAGTTGTGAGTCACCTGACGTTGTAGCTAGGAACTGAACTCAAGTCCTCTGAAAGAGCAGCAGGCACTATTAACTACTCAACCATTCCACTGACCCCCATCTCTCTTTTTTCAATGACTGTTTTCCAGTGTCTTGCATTCAAATTATTTATTCGAGCTTTTTTCCTTTTATTGAATTGTCTATGTTCATGGTGGGGGTGTCACATGCTTGTGTGTGCATTTATGTATGTGGAGGCCTGAGGTCTTCACTGGGTGTCTTCCTCAATCACTCTTCATATATTTTTGATATCAGGTATCTTATTGAACCTGGAATTTCCTTGTCTTGCCTAGATGAGTGGCCAGCTCCCAGAATCCTCCTGTCTCCCTTCACAGACTGGGATGGCAGGCACAAGCCACTGTATCTGGCTTTTACATAGGTGCTTGGGATAAACTCGGGTCTTTACAGTGTGAAATCACACTGGCTCCTCTACGTCCCATGTTTTTCCACCTCATTTTTATTAAGGTTACAGTGACTATAGATATGTATGGGAGGTGTTACACCCTAAAATTCGTGTTTCTGTCAATTCACACGGTATTTAGTCCTATTTATTTAGATCTTTAATTATTTGCATGAGCATGTTAAAGTTTCCAACATACTAATCTTGCATTTAGTTTATTTTTTTGTTTTTGTTTCTGTTTTTGATTTTTTTTTTTTTGAGATGAAGTCTCTCCTTGACCCAAAACATGCCAAATAGGTAAGTGTGGCTGCCCAGCAAGCCCTGGGGAATCCATCTGTCTCTGCCATCCAGGTACTGGATTACAAGCACAAACCACAACCCCTGGCTTTTTCAATATGGGCCATAGGGAGCCGATTCAGACTGGTGTGCTTGCAATGCAAACACTTCACCAGCTAAGCTGTCTCCCAGCCGTGTTTCTTGTGCATTTTTAAATAAAATTATACATGGAGTTTAAGAACTTTAACCTTAAATCTTTGTTGTGTAGAAACACAGTCAACTCTAGATTAATTGATTCATTAGGATTCTTTTTATAGAACATTCATGTTATCGACAAAGGCAGTTTTACTTTTCCTTTCCAGGACATATAAAATTAATTTATTTTCAAGGCCACATTATATTCACTGGGGTCTCCAGCCCAATGTTGACTAGAAATGCTCAACGCAGATACTTTTACTATGTTTTTGTTTTAGCAGAAGGGCATGCCATGTATCACCACTATGTATAATGGTAACGGTATGGCTTTTGTTAATACAAGTGATCTGATTGAAGAAGATTCATTTGTTTTATAACGTGCTCAGTGTTGTTATCCTGGATGTCTGTGGAATGTTGTTAGATTCTTTGTCTGCCTCAGTTACCATGATTTTCCACCATTTTCCGTCTTCTAGTATGGTCAGTTGAACTGATTTGGTGATGTTGAACAATCCTTCCATTCCCCCAAATGAGTTTCATTTGATCTTGATAGGTCATTTATAACTGCCATCATTTCAAGAAGTAGTATTTGGTGAAGATTTTTGCTTTATGTTTATAAGAGATACTAGTCTGTAGCTTTCAGTACTTTTTATTGTGCTGTTGGTATTGGGTAAATACTGGTTTCATAAAAATTTGTTTGATGTTGTTCCCTATATTTTCTCACCTTATTCTTACTAGTTTGCAGTATTGGTTTTTCAAGTAGAGGCTGGTGCACTACAAGATTTTGGTCCTCGATTCCTTGCCCTAAGTTTTCATCAGCCCCTATATACCTGTACTACCAGAAGAGGATCTCTATCTTCATGTTCTTCCCATTTTGCCCACTAGTATTGAGTACTAAGTTCCCAATGAGGCAACAAGTGTTAGACAGGGTAGTCCCAATGATTGGGGTGCCTTTGGGCCTGGACCTTGAAAGTTAGAGCTTTCTCAGTAGTCTTCCCTCTCCTAGTGGCAGGTAAGCTCCAATTTGAATCTCTGAGTGAACTTTGGAAGGCAGCTATTGCTCACCAACTACCACAAACACACACACACACACAAAGAGAGAGAGAGAGAGAGAGAGAGAGAGAGAGAGAGAGAGAGAGAGAGAGAGAGAGAGAATCTCAAAGCCCATCCCTAGGGAAAAAATAAAAAAAACAAGGCCATACCACCTAATCCTTCCCAAACAGTTCTATTCCCCAATGACTAAGTATTCATACATATGAGTCTATGGGGCCATTCTTATTCATGCTACCACAAAGTTCATCAGCTTTTGATACTTAATTTAACATAGTTCTATGATGATAGACTGAGGGATAGCTAGGACCTTATAAGATATCTAGAGAGTTGTCATTGTTATGTTTGTTAAATTGGTAATGACATTTTCTTATGCTTCTTGTATCTTAAGAGAAAGTACTTCTGGTGCTTTTTAGTAATGTATGCATGTGTTATTCTTGCTATTTATATTAAACACATCCTAGAAACAGGTGGTTCCTAAAGTATATTTGAAGAGTTGATTTTTGTATGCCAGTTATTATTATGTTGTGTTTACATTTTATTCTTTGTATTATTATAGATTCAAACTGTATTTTAAAGCATCACATATTATACTTGAGCTTTAACATATATTCTGGTTCTTATAACCACCACTACAGTCAAAAGTCAGTATTGCATCACCCCCATGATTTCCTTCTGCTGCCCCTTTAAAGCTACACCCTCTCCCATCTGGAACACCAGCATTGGTGATCTTTTCACTATTATTACCCTTCTATTATTTTGAAAATGTCATGCATAATAAATCATATGGTGCTGTGGTGGACAGATTCTAAGTAGCCCACTCCATTGTAGAGCCCTGGCATGCAGGCTACGCCTCATTTGCAATTAGCGTAAACTTTGGCAAAGATAATAGGATGTCACTCACTGCCATGATTGTTTGAGAATGTCTTAGTCAAATGGAGGAGAAATAGAAGAGGATGGGAGAGGAGCAAGGAGGGAGGCAAGCTAAATGCAGAATCAGGTACAACATTTTCTTTTATGTTCCAGTGACTCAGCACATAATGCTTTAAGATTAATTATTTTGCTCAGCTATTCATCCCACGCACAGGTATAGAACATTTTTTATTTGCAACAAAGGATTTTCAGTGTGTCTTTGTGATTACAAACATTAACTCTGGAGTCAGAGTACCTAGGTCCAAATGTCCTGTGCCAAATACATTGTGGACCTTCTTGTAAACTTCCTTAATCTCTCTAATACCTCATTTACAAAATGAGAATGCTGAAAACGCTCACCACTTTAGTCCATTTGCACTGTTCTAACAGGGTACTTGAGACCAGAACATTTCTTCACAATGGGCATATATCTGACTCACCATTGTACAGGCTGAAATAATGAAAAACTGAGAGACCATGTCTATCAGGGACCTTTGTAAGGTCACAAAAGTAGCATATAAAAAGAAAGAGAGACCCAAGTTTATCGTTTTCTCTGGACCCCATTCCTACAATGAATAAACCACTGCTGCAAGGCTGTAGAATAGGTTCATTAAGGTTTTAACCAACACATAAAGGTCTCTCGCTTCTCAGCACTTACGCATTGAGGATGTACATTTCCAAAATATGAACTTTGGGGGATATATTCAAACTTTAGAGACTTTCCAACAATATTTTGTAATATATGTAGATGGCTTAATAGCCTGGCATGTGGCAATAAATCACTGGCATCTATCCTCAATGCTAATACTAATAATAATTATGTAGAATGAAAAAAGTTATCTGGTTTTTAGTGAATTGCCAGTCAAATACTAATACTATTGCCTGGCATGTAAAAATTATAGGTATTATATATGATTTTTATATCATCTACTTCATAATAATAGCACTAGTATAATTTTAGCATTTATTAGTACTTATCACCCTTTATAACCTTCTACAAAACAGTAAAATAAAATTATATCCATGGAATGGGTACAATATTGACTGATTTGTGCATACTATAGGAAATAGACAATAAAGTATAGTTTTAAATTGTAATAACTATTTATATACACTTGGGCATGTAAATTAATAGGCAGAAAAATGTTATAAAGTGTATAATCAAATAACCCTCTTCGTTTAAATAAAATAATATGTAATACATTAGCCAAGTAATCCTCTTTAGGCTAAATAATAATATTTAGTATTCTGTAAAAGTGATTTGTTTTTGTTTAGCACTATAAGATCAACTATTTTTGTGCTGCTATTCAAAGGACAGACAGGTAAATCCAGGGACATAGCTAAGACACAAGTTCAGTGTTTCATAAGTTGCTAGCAGAATGTGTAGTTCTGCTAGGGGCTTAAGATCTGCCATCTCAAGTGAGTTACATCATTCTTTTTAGTTCCAATCTGTATCTGTCTATCGTGGTCAATTTACTGTGAACATGAAAAGTAGCGAAAGTGAGGCAGAAAGCCCAGGCTAGCAGCGTATGTGCTTGTGGTAGCATTGCCTTCAGAATCTTTACAGCAATGCAGTTAGACATGCAAAAGACATCAGTAAAAATGGAAAGAAAAAAAAAACCTTTATGTGCCAGAGAGAGTGCTACGTGTTCACCAAACTTTTCACTTTCTTCCTCAGTCAGAAGGAAATGACATTCTCCAGGCTCTACTGTAGTCTGCCTTCCGTACCTGTGTTCTGGTTAGAGGACAGCAGTGATATTTGCCAGACACAGCCCTTAAAACTGTCTGCAAGACTGTCCATCTTCACCATTTCTTAGATACCAGCATGGTTTTCAGTTCACCTATAAATATGATTTATTTATAAGTATTTTATTGAGGAATTTTGCATCAATGTTCTTCTGAGAATTTGGCATATAGTTTTCTTCTGTTGTATTCTTATTGTAAGTAGAGTATGGGGGTTGTGGGTATACTGTGTACGCATGTGTATGAGTCGGGGGGTGCCACAGGGAAGAGAAAAGGGATCATTCAGAGTGGGAAGTGGGAGCAAGAAAGGGCAACAAGGGATATATAAAGAGCAAGGCACATGATAGGCATATATGGAAAAGTTCATAATGAAGCCCTTCATTTTGCGATGAAGACATACTAATAAAAAAGAGAAAATAATCACCTATAGACATAGGATGCCAGAGAAGGCTAGTTAAAATATGTAAGAATATTTAAACTGGGGTTTTCTTGTGAGATAAAGTGCTTTTGCTACCTCCTCAAGACATCATACACCCTCAGGCTTTGAATGGAACTTGGACAGACCCTTGTTGCTCTTACACTGTAGAGTTCTGTAAAGGGAGACATTTCCACTTTCCACGTCTCCACACTTCAGCAGTTTTTCTTGGCAACTGTCTCTCCTGTAATTCAGGGCGTGGCCTGCGGAGGCGGAGCCTTCTTGGAGCAGTGCCTGTGAGTTCTACTCTGCCAGCCTTGGGGGAGGAGCCGCATTTTACCAGGCTGCAGCTGACAAGAAGCATCAAGGTAATGTCTGACTTAAATTTATTTTCTAGTGACTTCTCAGAGCTCTGGGATCAAAAATGAGAAAATAGGAAGGATGATCCTGGAGTGGAAGGAACACTGTGTGATTTTTAAAGAATTGCTGGCATTTTGACGGCATTAATCCTCTGGAACTTTTGTGTCTCCCAAGGTTTTTTAAGTCCACAGAGGGGAAAGGGTGATCAGATTACAGCCTCTAAATTAAGGCTTCAGTGCAGCATGGCCGTTCACGCTAATTTCCTAACTTGGCAGACCCTGTTAATATTACAAGGCGTTCTGTTATTCTATGAAATTTCAAACATTTATTCATTTACACAGAACTAAAACTGACAAAAGTATTCAACAACAGTGTATTCATGCGTCTGCTAATTGAAATACACAGAAAAGTGTGTATATGTTCCATGCGTAGGAGTATAGGAAGGGGATCAAATGTGCAATTGAGTGAAGACATGGGCACATAATCTATGCGTGTATATATGTGTGGTTGGAGAAAAGTGACAGAAACTCCTGTGTTAGTATTCAGCATTGCTGGGTAGTCAAGCTGCTGTTCTATTTGTAATAAGTTTATCCCGTTTCAATACCATTAAAGTGTAGATTGCCTTACGGTTATTTGTTTGATTGTGAAAGAAAAAAATGTATTTCAAACAGCATACTCATTTTGTTTCAGGCACGCATGCATTTATAAACATACATAAATGCTTCTAAACCATACTTATTTTTTCCAGGAGTGAAAGTTTCCCTACATCTGGTCAAATGAGTAGCTTAGTTGCTGTTTTGATTATAACTAACCCTGTGTGTGTCCTCCTTGCACTTCATTGTTTCGGGTCACGTGGTGAACCTTGATTGCCAAAAATCATTTTTCTGCATCATCTAAGTGTATGGACAAAAGGACACATTTGGCTTATTCCTATAAGCCATTTAAAGAATATTATATTATACATGCAAACTCTGTAGTATTACATAGCTGGTAAATAGAAAACAGAAGCCTCCAAAGCTTCTGAGAAATATAAAACCTGATAAATAGAGAAAATTATGGAACACTAACTACATTGGCTATCTCAGTATATGTCTGTTACTATAATGGATGCAATTAAATATCAGAAATTCATCTCTAACAAAAATATGCATTATCTATATAGAGAATCAGGGCTGCCTTTACCATTCTGTATATTTAAAATAGCAACCCATATATATTTGGGCTTTTTTACATCTTCAGTGAAATATTGAGATAAAATATTAGACTTGTTACAAGGCTCATTTAATAAGTTATGTAAAATCATGTGCAAAAAACTTGTTTATATAGAATCATATTGAAATCAGACTCTTAAAGGGGGTTCCTGAACCTGGTTTGAAATGGGCATTCATTCTCTGATGTACAAATTTTCTAGAAAGAGATTATTCATGGTGTATATTAGTGCCAGGTTGTACTTGACTTTTATTTTTATATGTATGTGGTATCATTTCAATTTTAAGTGAGCTTCTGAATCATCGGAATAACTGTGCTGAAAATATTACACTATTTCTATCCTGACTACAAACCCTTCAATGTACTTTATTTAATGTTTCTAGATGTGGTACAGGGAATGGAACCTAGGACCTTAGAGATGCCAGGCAAACACTCTGACACTGAGCCACATCCTCAGCCCTTAAATCCTTATACTTAGCATGAAGGATTCTAAAAACCCAAGAAGGCTCCTGATGGCTAGCACAGTTTCTAACCTTCTCCCATAAGAAGGATCTAGTGTTAAGGACAATGAGGACTACTGAGACCTCAAGAACAATGGCACTGGGTTTTGATCCTACTGCATGTACTGGCTTTGTGGGAGCCTAGGCAGATTGGATGCTCACCTTCCTAGACCTGGATGGAGGTGGGTGGTCCTTGGACTGCCCACAGGGCAGGAAACCCTGATTGCTCTTCGGGCTGATGAGGGAGGGGGACTTGGTTGGGGGAGGGGAGGGAAATGGGAGGCCGTGGTGGGGAAGAGACAGAAATCTTTAATAAATAAATAAATTTTAAAAAGAATATACATATCTCCATGAAAAAAAAAGAAGGATCTTGTGTTAAGGTCCTACTTATATCATCAACAGACTACATTTCTTCTTCTAGTCATAACATGGCATATGTGCCAGAAAGCCTGAATTTTCTTCAGACAATCATTGTTATAAGCAGGGAAATAAAGCAGAGAAACTATTTTTTTAATTAATTAGACTATGAGACAGAGTGTGCCATATAACTGTGATTCTATTATAAACTATTGCAAGTTTAAATAAATCCACTTGATAACTAAGGTAAAGATTCAATCAGAAAGTCTAAACATGTGATTCCCTCATGCTTCACCTCCTACTTTTCTAGAAAGAGATCATTTCAGCATGAATGGTAAGGAATATTTCATCTTGTAAGGATACAAGGGAAAACAAATATGACATTGTAGTGATATTCCATTTATATTTCATAAATAAAGCTTGTCTCAAGATCACAGAGTAAAACAGCCCCACGGTCAGCCTTACTGACCAGGCAGTGGTGACACACTCCTTTAATCCCAATAGACACACTAGTTGCCGTAGAAACCAAGTGGTAGTGGTGCACGTCCTTAATCCCAGCCCTAGAGAGAATTATAAAACGGGAGGAGACAGCTCTCACAGACAGTCTCATTCTGAGATTCCTGGAGGCAGGATCGCCATTTTGGACTGAGGTAGAGGCAAGAGCCAGTAGCTGGCTGCTTTGCTTTTCTGACCTTTAGGTAAGCCTTATTTATTAAAATACAAATGAAATATCACTACATGACATCTACATTAATGTTGAGATTTTATCTCATGCCTGTGTTTCACAGTGGCATGCCATTGAGTTTAGGTAGGCAGGTTGTTGTTCTTTTTTTTTTTTTTTTACCACTTCCCTTTACTTATTTGGTTCCCTGTCTTTTTTTTTGTCCAGCCTCGACTGCTATCAGAGGCTCATGAGCTGTGGGAACTCTACATGTGATTCGACTTGAGCCCAGAAAGGCAGTGTGACTACATACGTGCCCCCAAGGTTGAAAGGGCTGCCTGGAAATCAACTGGCTTGAGAGTCAAGATAGTTGGATCACATTGCAAGACTGTCACCATCCATGTGACAGAGGGTAAGACATGTCCCATTTCAGGAGATGCTTCACATTTGAAAATATGATGAGATTTTAAAGGATACTTGACTTTGCTTCCTGCTTTCTATCTGAAGCATTACAATTTAAAAACAACTTTTGTATAAACATAAGTCAGTTGAAAGTTTGAAGCAAAGCCTTGTGCTTAGCTAAAACACTGCCTTGTAGTGTTAATGAAGTATTGGAATCATTTTAGAACTTCATAGAATTGTAATTTTTAAGCTCATTCTAGAACTTCTGAATAAGACTTTACAAATGGAGCCTAATGCTAGACAGTGGTCACACATGCCTTTAATACCAGCACTCAGGAGGCAGAAGCAGGTAGATCTCTGTGAGTTCGAGGCCAGCCTGGTCTATAAGAGCTAGTTCCAGGACAGGCAGGCTCCAAAGCTACAGAGAAATCCTGTCCCGAAAACCCAAAAAAGAACGGAGGCTAACATTCTATGAGGCCCTCCATATGATCCTCATGGTTGCTAGATTTGAAGTTTCACTACCACAGAAGTAATACTAGGAATACAAAAAACTGAAAGTATTGGATGACATGAATAGATTCCGTAACATACAATTACAAGTACTTCTAGCTATAATTAAGCATATTCTTTAGCAAAACTGTAAGGGTTCTTGAATTGAGGTTATCATACAAGTTTATTTCCCACTGTTACCTCCCTGTCCATTAGGCTGATATTTTTTTTTTTCTATCTGGTCTCTCAATGAACACAGCTCTCTTTATTTTATCTCTTTTGTTTGTTCTTGCTCACCTGCTACTTTGGCAAGATAGTTTTATTTATTAATAGTGTTTTCCCCATTTCAGTATCTTCCAGAGTTCTTATTCAAACAACAAGTATCCTGGGGACATATTTGTGGAAGAAAACAGTGCACATAAACCATAAACTCTTTGTGGCTCTAAACCAAAAGAAACTTTAATAAGACTGTTGTTTTGATAGCACTTGTATTTGCAGACACAAGGCCAACCAATCTTTGTAATACTAACTACTTGTCACACTAATCTAAATCATAATGGATGGTGACTATGTCCTATGTTATTGGGAAGAACAGTTATGGCCAGCAGAAGTCTTATGTAGGTCTGAAATTGCGTCAAGTAGTAAAAGGGAAACGGCATTTTCTCTGGAAGTTCAGTTACTTCCAATAGGTGAGAAAATTACCGTGTACAGCAGAGACACAATAGCACTAACTAGATCCGAGGTTGAAGCTATTTTGGCCTCACAAGCAGAAGAGTCAGAGGTCAACGTTCTACCTAGGGAAGAGACAGCCTATGAAAAATCGCTGAAAATGGCGCTGGAAGTGGTGACAGAGGTAAATGAGAGCCAGGAAAGCATGCCAGATGAAGAAGACACCACTAGAGCATCTGAAAGTGAACCGGTGGAGCTGTCTGATTCACCTCCCCCTAAAAAGTATCGAAAACTGGAAAGCAGCCTCCAAGAAGACTCAGCCTCCATTTTACTGTGCTCAGAGAGTGATGATTCCCTAGCTGACGATAAGATGCAAGTGTACACAATTTATGGGGGCATTCCAGGTGAAGAGGATTCAAAGCCACCCCGAGGCTTCAGCTGGTACCCAGTTTACCCTTCGTTTATAAACGATGATGATGATGATGATAAAAAAGAAGAAAAGAAAAAGATTGACATCTCAGCAATTATGTCTGTGAATTTATCATTCAAAGAGGAAAGTGAAGACATTAAAGAAGAAAAGTTGATTGTATCAGCAGACGATCTGGTTGTAGCCAAGGAAGAGATCCAAGGCATGTACCCAGAAGCCCCAGCAGGTTCCTCTGAGTGTTCCACCTTCCCAGAGGATTACATGGACGATCCTGGAGAGGGCCCATCATATCTGATTCCATGCTTCTATGGCAGCCAGAATCTTTATGGCAGCCAGAGTCTCTATGGCAGCCAGAATCAATCTTCTGTGGAATCAGAAATGGGTGTTGAGACCTCCCCTGAAGGCTGCTCAGGGGACTCTCAGGTTTCACTTCCTGTCTGTAGTAATCCAGTCAACAGTGACCTACTACTTCAGAGACCGGATTTTGAAGATCTTGAGGAAGAAGCTCAAGCTTCTGACAAGCTACCTTCTCTAAATCCTGTTAGTGCAGCTGCACTAGGCAATGGTGAAGAGAAAGAAGATGAAGAGCTTCCCCGTTTCCTTCTCTGCTACGAGACACGGGCATTTGAACCCGGAATGATAGTGTGGTTTAAATATCAAAAATACCCATTTTGGCCAGCAGTGATAAAAAGCATTAGGCGAAAAGAAAGGAAAGCAAGTGTGCTTTTGGTTGAGGCAAACATGAATCCTCAAAAGAAAGGTGTTAGAGTCTCTTTGAGAAGATTAAAAAAATACGACTGTGACGAGAAGCAGGAACTCGTGGAGAAAGCTAGAAAGGAGTACGGTGACAGTATCGATTGGTGCGTGTCACTGATTTGCGACTACAGAGTTAGACTAGGTTGTGGATCTTTTAAGGGCTCATTCTTTGAGTACTACGCTGCTGACATCAGTTACCCAGTCAGGAAAATAATCAATCAAGACACCTTCAGAAATATCTTTCCAAAGCTACCCAATGAAGACACAGGGGAGCAAATGTCTGTGACTTCCCATGCCAAGAAAATATCTTTCCAGAAAATTCTCCCTGATCGGATGAAGCCTGCTCGAGACCGTGCTAACAAGAACCTGGTCAATTTCATTGTCAATGAAAAAGGTGCAGAGGGCCATCTCTTGGGCATTTTAAAGGGCACAAAAAAATCCAGATGGCTGAAATCATTTTTGAATGCCAAGAGTTTCACACCCTGTATCGAAACATACTTTGAAGATGAAGATCAACTAGATCAGGTGGTGAAATATCTACAAGAAATCTATAAACAAATCGATCAGAAGATGCTCACTCTGATAAAAGATGACAAAATTAAGTTTATCTTGGAAGTTCTTCTACCAGAAGCGATTATTTGCTCCATTTCTGTAGTTGATGGCTTAGATTATAAGGCGGCTGAGGCAAAGTATCTGAAAGGACCATCCCTTGGCTATAGGGAGAGAGAATTATATGATTCCAAAATCATATTCGAAAAGAGACGGAGGTCGTTAGCAAAGGAAGCTCAGTAATTATGCCAAGAGTTGAAACCATAAGGGAAGCTAGAGGAAACTTTGGAAAAGTAATCATCTAGAATTTCCAACATGTAAATATTGGCGAAAATATGTGCAGGGAGGGTCCTTGAATCACAAGTCCTTTTATTTTTGGAAGATCTGTGCAATCTGCAGATACCACTACATCCATCTTTATTTTCTTGCACTTTTTCAGAATCAGCTTTGTCAATATATTTTTAGCAGTTTAATTTCTTAATACATTTTAGAATGCATAATTCTTAAGCAATTTTAAGGGAAATTACTATTTTGTTCTATGATATTTTGTGTCTTTGCTGTATAGGTAAATACAGTATGCACATTCAGTTTGATAAAATTGCACTGGTGTTAGATTTTAAGCGAGAGAATTAGAAGAGATGTTGAAAACAAATATTAGTCATATATTTTTTGCTCAATTTTTTAAATAGAATACTAAGTTTTCTCTTAAGATAGCTGAATTATTTTTCCTGTCATGCTTATTTATTTTTTGGAAAATTATCGCTAAATCATAGAACCAAAGATAGACTAAATGTTGCTACATATCATAACTAACCACAATCGCTTTTGCAAGGAAACAATCTAAAATTAAAAAGTATATGGGCTATCTGCATTATTCTGTGTGTGTGTGTGTGTGTGTGTGTGTGTGTGTGTGTGTGTGTGTGCGTGTGTGTGTACAACATCTCAGCATGCAGAAAATGACTTTTGGCATCTATGAACAGAATTGTTCATTCTACACTTCTCTGAAATTCCAATTTGAGGAGTGTCTGTCTTTTGATGCTGAATCATTTTTAAAACAGATGAGTTTCTGGTTATCTTCATAATTGTGAGTAGATCTTATTACTATAGCTATCTGAGCACATGTAGAAGACAGTTATAATTAGCATATCAACAGTCCTGCCCCTCTACACGCCCAGGTTGCTGCATCAAGGTCTACCTAGTTTGTATAAACTAGAAAAAGCAAGCACTGTGTTCAGAATCCTGTCTCCAGTTAGAAATCCATTTGTCTCAAACCAAGCAAGCTTTAGCACCTAGCTTATGTATAGAATGGTTCCAACTGGTTCCAATAACATAAATGCCAACTGGTAAATCATTCCAACCTACTAGATGGACCAGAATCTGGAAATCTGGAAAAAATGTTACAGCAAAAGTTCTTTACTTGCTACATGTGGCAGTTGTTCTGTATATGGTTATGTATACAAAATCAGATGTTCTCGTAACTTGAAACAAGATTTTTTATAAGTCTTAGAAAAGCTAGTATATTAAAAAAAAAGCTGGATGTGAAAAGATGTATTGAGGGTGTAGACACAAACCTGTCTACATTTTTACCTCATAGAGTGAGACAACTTTCCCTCTTGGGCTCTTCTGTGTTCATTTCACATGGCTATATGTTTATGTACAATTTGCAAAGTTTTGGTATTTGATTTATAATGAAACCATGATATCTTTCACCTTAGAGGTTAATTTAGTTGTATAGCAACACGGTGGTGGTTTGCGTAAATTAATATATGTACATGCATATATATGCACACACAATTTGTTTGAAACTTTTGCTCATTGTCATCATTTAATTCTTGTTATGAACTGTCATTCTAAATAAATGCCCACTTTCATGATTGATTTTGTATTGTTTTAAAAGAAAACCTTCCCAATTGTTTATGCTTCCTATGTAACGAAATCATCTTTGGATCTTGTCTAAAATTTACCAATATTCTTCATATACACACAATGTGTCAGTGCCCATATTTTTCACCTAGCTTTTAGAAGTTTGTTAGGACACAACACACCATACAATATGTAGATTCTATATCCTAGGAAAATGCATTATATTTATACTATATACTGTGTCCCTCTGGCTCCAACTTATTGCCCCCTTCAGGATCCCCAGTAAGTTATCTCGGTATGCTGGTTCTAATACATTTTAATTACTCTACTCATTGCTGTGAATTAGGAGATCAAGTATATGCAGTTTAAATCTTTGTTCTGAGGGTAGGTTGTGGGTGCCATATTAATGAGACCCAGATTGACAGTTTCTAATGTGACCATGTTGTGTTACATCACACTGAGAAATAGTAAACTTACAGATTGCTTATATTTGAAAATAAGAGCATCAGTTTTTTTTTCATATTAGGGAATGCCTTGTTATTCTCTTGGAGGTAAATCTGATCCCTTTAGAAATGTCATCTATCTTTTGGCATACACTGAACTGAGACATCTGTGCCCTTTGAATAGGTTATCAAATGATATTTGGGCTGTAGAAAAGAATGAGCTTAGTTGGCTTCCTCAAATTGCTTTCAGACTATGTGAATATCAATGCAGGCTATACGTTTGTCTCAAGCTTGATCCTTAGCATATGCTTTTAGTCCAAGGGAAATGCCTGTTTTGCCATCTACCCTAACCACTGGGTAAAGGTGACCCTCATCTCTAGTTAAATGAAGCCTGCTCAATTTCAAAACAAGATTTTATTTAGGGATCTGCCAAGCTGCATGGAGACTTGAACAGTGTTCAAAGGGTTATACATCTATGTATCTGCATCCAAACAAGGAAAGAATGGAATTCTGAGACATAGAATATAGATAGAAATAATAAGCTTTTTGAAATATAATTTCACAAAGCACAAACTGGCCTGGAATTCAAAATGTATTTAAGGCTCCCTGTGAACTTTTGATCGATCCTCCTGTTCTTCCTGCCATTGGGAGTGAACCACCTTGTCCAGCAATAATGAGAATCTTGAATAACTAAAATCATCTGAACCTTCAGCCTAACAAAAGCAGTTCATTTGAAATTGTTGAAAGCATATGTGTAAGCATCTGGGAGTTTAGAAATGAATCAGAGAAATATTCCCCTTTAGACTAAGTAATATGTATAATTATATACAATATGAAGTTAACATCCAAAGCGAGTGAATTGACAATCCTAAATTGATATGAGCTTTTGTAAAAATAAATGTTAGCAAAGCTAATGTTCATATAAAACTAAATGCTTAGACCTAACCACATTTTTACCTTTTTGTATGGTTTACTTGAACCTCATTTGTGATGCCACGCATATTCAGTATAATGACTATATCAACTCAATGTACATCTTTTATTGGGAGAAGGGAATAGTTTTCCTTTCTCCCCTTCACTTAAAAGAAGCTTCCTTTAATGTAAATTAAGTTGTATTTCTTATTTAATGGGTGAATCCCCACTTTCCTTTTATTTAATATACTTTTGTTTAGAGGAGACAGAATCAGCCAAGATAAATGGACATTAAAAGTTAGCATGCTGTGGTGGCGCACGCCTTTAATCCCAGCACTCGGGAGGCAGAGGCAGGCGGATCTCTATGAGTTCAAGGCCAGCCTGGTCTACAAAAGCCAGTTCCAGGACAGGAACCAAAAGCTACAGAGAAATCCTGTCTCGAAAATCAAACAAAAAAAAATACAACACATTGTCACATTTATGATGTCGATTTTCAGGAATAAAGCAGATAAAATGTCCTTATTTGAGTAGGCTCTCTGAAGCTTGATTAAGAAAGCCCAATGACAAAGTAATTCATTGAGACAACAAACATGGCATCATTTATTTTCTCAGTTAATTCCTTGAGAATACTCAGTCAAATTGAAAGAAAATACAGTAGCAACCCTGATGTTGAAAGTTGGATGAGTGAATTTTAAAAATATGATACATGAATCATTTAACTATTGTATCTGCCACTTTGATCATTGTGAAAACAACAGCATGGGTTTACACAAACCTAGATGATCTAGCTCTGCTACATACCAGGGCTCCATGATGCATCTTATCACTCACAGGTCATAAGTTTCTACAGCATGCTACTTTACTGAATACAATAGGAAACTATAATCAATGGTAAGTATTCATTCCTAAACATATAAAAGATAGAGCAAAACCAAAACATGGGGGATTAAATGTTGTCTTACCAAACTTCCACAATAGCCTGGAATGGAGTATAACAAAGGTTTATTTATTTTGGGATAAACCCATAGTCATCTGCTTGCACTGGGAATTGGAACCATATCCAGCAAAAAAAAAGAGAGCTGCACAAGTTTTTCTTCTGCATTTATTCTTCTGCATTGGGAGACCATGTCCCAAATGGGTTGGTATCTTAAAGGCTATTATTGGCTGAAGAAGTTCCCACAATACCTTTTCCTTTTGTCTAAATAAGAGCGTTCTAACCCTAGTACAAAACTATATACAATAAAAACAAATATCAAGTATTGTCAAGGAAAAAGAAGAGGCAAAACATACATAAAAATTAGAATTACAACCAGAATGAACAACATCTGATGTGGGAGTGATTTCTTATTAATAAAGAAACTGCCTAGGCCCATTTGCATTTGATAGGCCAACCCTTAGGTGGGTGGAGAAAACAGAAGAGAATTGTGGGAAAAAGAAGCTGAGAGAGAGTTGCCATGATGCTCCCACGCCAGACAGATGCAGGTTAAGATCCTCCCTGGTAAGCCAGCTCGTGGGCTACGCAGAATATTAGAAATGGGTTAGAACAATATGTAAGAGCTAGCCAATAAGAAACTGGAACTAGCCGGGCCAGGCAGTGTTTGAAAGAATACAGTTTCCGTGTAATTATTTTGGGCATAAGCTAGCCATGCGGGCGGCCGGGTGCCGGGGACGCAGCCCTGCCGCTCCTATTTCAACAAACATCAAACAAGAAACATGTGCTAAATGTTACAATAACTATCCTATCCTAAGGAGTCTAAATCTTACATTAAAAATTTCTTGGCTAAGTCATGAGAGGAAAGTAACTATGGCTGTCTATTCTTCAACCCCATCGAAGATCTGAGGAGGGAAATAATATTACCTCAGTAAACAGGAAGTGCAATCAAGCAATTTCCAAAAGGTACAAGAAATGACAGAGACACTTGGCTACCTGTGCAATCACCCAAAGTCTCATTTGCAAAGCTGGGGCAACCAACTTTGGCTAAGGCCTAGAGTATCTGACAGACCATTTTCAGAGGCAGGAAAAATTTCAAAACCATCTTGCCCTTTCTTGGCAAGTTTTGGCAGTCTTTTTGCTTGTATCCTGCTTGTCCAGTTTGGACACCATACACTTTGTCAGTAGTTGAGGGAGGGGCAGTTCTTTGTCCAAAGGCCAGTTTTGCCAAGAAGAAAACAAACTCCAAGTGGAGTGTTTTCAGTGCCCAACATTCTCTCAGGAATAGATCAGTACTGCCAGGAGCAATTGTGTCTCACATCAACAGAATCCTAAGTTACTTAAATGCCATATTGTACAGTTCTTTGAAGTGGTTAAAAATTACCTATCCATGAGGAATACAATCTCTATGCATCTAAAGAACCTGACTAGTCTAACTATAAGAATGACAAACATGGATGACTATTGACCTGCAAGTCTTAATACCTATATATCTTAAAGACTAAGGCTTTATATTAAAATATTGAACAATCTTTAAACAAATGTGCAGAATATACACACACACACATGTATGTGTATCTTGATCAGTGGTAGAAATGTACAGTGCAATATGATAAATATATCCTAAAATTGCAGCAATATACAAAATATCTTAAGCAGAGGTAGAACCATACATGCATATGATGTGGGATTCTCCTCTGTATGCTGTGATTACAATTAATGAATAAAAAAAGCTGGCTTGACTTGAGCCTGT